GATTTTGGGGGGAAAAGCATTAAGCAAACAAATATATTACAGAAAGCAACACACATATAAGTCTTGATTTAATGTGGGAGTTTGGGCCCTGTGACTTTAGTTCTCTCTTTCATCCATTTTACATTATCCTATCCTGAAATACATAAACATGTTACATGTATACATATGTCTGAAGTAAAATAGACACAGACATAGATAGGTATATGGGCATCAGATGTGTGTGTGCACATACACCTATAATCGCACAAGAATGAGGAGAAATCTGAATCTGCATTGATAAGTAAAAGAAAAATGTCTGCAGCATGTCAGACTGACAGTGTTTGGAAGTGAGGCTGACTAATCCAGGATCCAATAACCTTAAAGCTATGTTACAAAAGGTGTAAATGTATATTCTGTTGTAACTGTGAGAGAGGAAAAAAAAATGGCATGAGTAATCAAGTCTATCTTACATGGCCAACTCATAAAGATAACTGATTTGCATTTTCTGTGTCCAAGATCAGTGATAAGGTGAGGATCTCATCCTATTACTAACCCTTACACGTCGCCTTGATGTGTGTCTATTTCCCGTGTGTCATATACCTTATTTTAGGTGGACTTAATGACAGGAATTGTGACCAAAGATGAATATAGCAGCTTTCAGTTTAAGACCTTAGAAGTATTCCTTCTGTGTCCCAGTTTACTAAGAGAAGCACCTACCTCAGGTGTTCATGACTCAAAAAGAAAAAGGGGACTGGAGGCCTGGCCCAGTAGCAGTGTAGCTGCCTAGCAATAGCAAGTGCAACACCCTGTACTTAAACTCCAGTGTGTGCGTGTGTGTGTGTGTGTGTGTGTGTGTGTGTGTGTGTGTGTGTGTGTGTAGGAGAGAACACATGAGAAAAAGAGAAAAGGAAAGAGAAAGTAAGAGAAAGGATGATGAGAGATGATGATGATGATGATGATGATGATGATGATGATGATGATGATGATGATGATGATGTTGAAACAAGTGGAATCTGACCCGCAGCCGTTCCTGTTATATCCTAGCACAGATGTAACTGATGTAAACAAGAAAAAATAAGGGCTGGATCTTACTTTTGTATCCCATTAAGATTGGGAGATTGTGCCTTACACAAGATAATATAACTAATCTTTTAAAAATTTTATTTATTCTATCTTTTTATGTTGGTACTAAGCCTTGAACTCAGTGTCTCATAATCTCACTTAGTGTTTTGTTGCTCAAAGCTGGGGCTCTACTGCTTTAACCACACCTCTACTTATGGATTTTTTGGTGACTGAAGATTTGAGACTTTCAGTTTTGTCTTTTTCAGTGGCTTCTAAACTTAGCCTTCTGAGTAGATAGGATTATAGGCATGAGCCACTGGCTCCCAACAATAAGATAATTATTGAGTGATACACCATAGCATGTTATTTAAAATAGAGGCTTTGTGGCTGGGTGTCTAGCTTAGAAACAGAGCATTTGCCTAAGACAATGGATTTAGTCATTAGTATCACACCCATTAAAAGAAAGAGACAAAGACACAGACAGAGCTGAGGAGGAAAGAGAAAAGTAGGATAAAAGGAAAGAAGGATGGGGAAGGGAAAGAAAGTAAAAGGGATGAAAGGAAAAAAGTAGATAAGTAAAAGCCTTTTTACCAAAAAAGTTACAAAGGGAAAATTAATGAGTATCTTTGTTCATTTGGGACACAAATGATCTACTGAAATACCCCAAGTGAAGTAGATAGACTCAATTTATTTCCCACTGTCTGTATGCTGGCAAAGTCTAAAATCAGCAAATTCACTGATGTGGAGTATTGGGTTTCTAATTCAAAAATAGCTTAGATAGTTATGACTTTATGATGGAAGATACAAAGCAGATCTCCAGGGTCATATTTTTTTATAAACATATTTTTTATTGTGAAAATACCATACAGAGGGGTTACAATTACATGGGCAAGATAATGAGTACATTTCTTATCAAGCATTGTAGCCTCCTCCTTTGTTTCCCCTTCCAAACCCTTCTCATCCTTCCCCCCACCCCGTCCCCCCGCCCATCAAGTCATTTTTGACATAACGACTTGTATATCTCATTGTTGCAATGGGTCCTCCCGTATCCCTGTTTTAACGATTTGTTTTTTCCCTTCCCCTCCACATATACCAACATCAAATACAGTGAAAGCAGGGGTTATACCATGGGGGAGGGACATACAAAGCAACAAAGACATAATCTTATAAATATGTTAAAAACAAACAGTCGCATGAAAAATCTCTCTCTCTCTCTATTTTTTTTTTTTTTTTTTGGTCAGTCGTGGGGCTTGAGCTCTAGGCCTGGGAGCTGTCCCTGAGCAATTTAGCTCAAGGCTCATGCTCTACCACTTGAGCCATAGCACCACTTCTAGTTTTCTGGTGGATTTTTTTTTTTATTATTATTGTGATTAAGTGATTACATAATTTCCCAAATTTTACAGTATTGTGAGATAGTGATGCTCATTTAAAGTCACAAACTCATTCTAACTTTCCTGGAGCAAATTGTCTATCATGGTCTATAACATATAATGGCGTACACATATATACCATACATGTGATCAGCAGCATGGGATTATTTAGTAGTGGTTTGACCGGATGAGTGTAATTTCTTTGTTTCTTAAGTCCTGCTAATTTTGTCATATCACCTAACATTTTGGATTTTAACATCCACTTATCAGGGAGACCATGTACCGTTTGTCTCTTTGCTCTTGGCTTACCTTGCTCAACATGATTTCTTCTAGCTCCATCCATTTCCCTGCAAATGCCATTATTTTGTCATTTCTAATGGCTGCATAATATTCCATAGTGTATAGATACCACAATTTTTGGATCCATTCATCTGTGGTGGGACATCTGGGTTGTTTCCATATCCTGGCTATTATGAACAGTGCTGCAATAAACATGGAGGTGCATGTGTCCTTGTATACTGGTTCCTGTTGCAGGGTCATATTTTATGAGTATGGACCCCATTCTTTAGGCCTGCCCTCATGATATTATCACCTCCCAAATACCCTAATTCCTAATGTCCATTTTGTTGGCATTTGCTTTTCAGCTTCTTAATGTGGTGTTTAGAGGTAGAGAATGGGCAGCAGCATTTCTATCACACCAATGAGCAAAGCCATTTCAAGGAGGAAAAGCCAACAATAAGCCTCCCTTTCAGTAGTCCCCCTTTTACATTCAGTGTGAGAAAACCAACTTAAGGAAAGAATAAATAAGGAAGCATATGAATAATGAACTACATCCTATTTTCTTTGTGTGAGTTATTTCACTTAACATGATGAACTCTAGTTCCATTCATTTATCGGCAAGTTACGAATTATATTCTTGTTAATGACTGAGTAACATTCCATTCTGTATATATGTACACCTCCGTTTATCAATTTAAATTCATCAATTTAATCAATTTTAATAAGCTTATGCTGTAATTTATGTGTTCTAAGTAGCATTATGATAAATATGGGTTTGCAGCTGTGTAATAAAGTACCTTAGATGCTCTTGGACATATCTACAAAAGTGATTTGGCTGGGTAATGTTGGATTTCTATTTTTTTCATGGGTCTCCATAATAAATTTCATATTGACTAGATTGATATATACTCCCACCAGCAGTGAATGAGAATTCTTTTTTTTTCTATATTCTTCCCAGCATTTGCTATTGTTTTTTAAATTTGGTTTTTATTATCCTTAAGTCATTGTGCAAAGGGGTTTTGATTCAATATGTCAGTTGGTGGGTACAGCCATTTGATCAGTGTTACCTCTTTCATCATTCTCTATAATCTTTCATCATCCCACCCATCAACCCAGATTCATTCGTGTACATGTACATTCAATATTATGACTGCATTTCCCCACCATTCCTCTCTCTCTGTTTCTCCACACCAGCCATGCTGACTGAATGAGGTCAAATTTCAATGCAGTGTTAAGTTGCTTTCCCATATAGCTAAGGATGTTGAAATTTTTGTGTGGTTATTGGTCATCTTTACTTCTTCGTTTGAAAAGTGAAATAGAAAATGTGGGCCTAAAATTTATTTGGAAACACAAAGATTTCTAATAGCCAAATCAATCTTAAGCATAAAAGAGCATTCTTGACAGTATCATAATACTTATAATTACACAACAGAGCCATAGCGATAAAAGCAGCATGGTACAAAAACAGACACACAGAACAATGTATTTGAATAGGCAATCCTGAAATAAGCCCAAGAAGGTAGTGTCAATCTGATTCTTGATAAAGGCATCACAATATATATAAATATATACTTATATATATTTATATGTACTTATATAAATATGTACTTATATATATTTATATATACATATATAAATATATCATAAATATATAATATATGTTGTATAACATATTATATTATAGATGATATATTATAAATATATATAGATATATAAATATACATATATTTATATATACTTTAGGAAAAAGTCTCTCTTAGAAGTGGTGTTGAAAAATGGATATATACATGTAGATGACTAAAACAATCACACAGTGTGTAAGAATCAGCTGAAATATGGAGAATACCATGGGAAAACCTAAGGAGAGGCTTCAAGATACAGTCATGGAGAAGGACTTTCTGAATATGATAGGACCATAATGGCTCAGGATGGATCAATTGGATTAGATCCAATTAAAATCTTCTGCACAGCAAAAGAAATAAACAGCAGAATGAAGATATAGATTACAAAACAGTATAAAGTCTTTGTCAGATATTCATTTGGCATGGAGCTAGCACTTAATATACATAAAGAAGGAAAACTTAAACATCAAAACAACCAACAGTCCAACCAATAAAAAGCATTGGGGTTCTTGGTAGGTCAGATGATCTCTATCCCTTAATACCTACCACTGAGGTTTGGTTGAGGTTTGGTTGCATGGAATCTTAGGTACGTAAGTAGTTTCCCCTCCAGAAATTTAAGCCCTATATTATTAAGAGCTTCAGTTTTATATTATGAAATTCTATCTTTTTTATTTTATTTTATTTTTTAGGGGAGAGTGCAAATGCAGTCCCCCACTACCACAACTAAAGCAGTCAAATTCCCCACATTTGGGGAAATCGGGGGAATCAGCACATCTGGAGAGCAATGGATGAGCTTCGTCCTGGAAAAACCACCTTCGTGATCATGGTATCTCCCCTACCCGGTAAGTATATAAAATTCTATTTTAACTTTGTAAGATATTAAAGCATTATTATGGTACTGAACTTGTGTTTGTCAAATTGGATCCAGCTTTCATATAGAAGTAATATAGAGGTATATATACATATATTTGTTAGCTGTAATACAAAAGTAAATGTGCATAGATATGCGGATATGTTAAATATATATCATCTATATCATTATGAATATAAATGGGAATTTACTATGATACCCTTCAATCAATGAGTAGTGTTTACCACCTTGAGTGCAAAGTTGTGGTATTCCCAAAGTCTCTGGGGGCAGAAGAAATGACAATGGGAATGACTTTGGAGCCTCTGTTTTATGTGAGAGTTTGAAAGATGTAATTATATTGGGAGGGTACATATGAAGAAAAACATAAAAAAATCCTACAAAGCCTTAACAAAGCCTTAGGGACCAACCAATGGAACATACATACAGAAGGAATTTTTAAGATTTTAAGGAGAAAAGGATAGACAGAACACACCCTGACATCCATTTGAAAGACATAGTTGAGGAAATTAGTGACTGACACAAAGTAAAGTTGAAAAATGGCATGGTGGAGAATGAACTGGTCATTCTCATGCCCAAAATTTGCACTGATATCCAAGTGATCCAGGAAGATGATGATCATCAGAGCTCTGGTTTGGACTGCAGGGCTGGAGAGTTAATTAGGAAGAAGCAGGTAGAGAAGGCAAAAGCAAACCACTGTGTCATTTCTGGAATCTATTGCACTGGCCTTTCTGTATATTCTGGTTGTTTGCTTGACCTTCTTCCCTCTAGTAATACCTTGAGGTCAAGCACTGTATCTTTAGTCTTCGTGTTACTAGCATCTGATAGAGGCAGGGCCAGAGTAAATACTCACACACTACTCAATGAATGAGCGGTCAGCTGTCCTGGATGGTTAGTGCCATGTTAATAGACACGTATTTCATTTTTCATAGGGGTGTAGGGAAACAGTGATCTCCCCATGGAGGGTTCTCAGAAAGCTTTAGCAAAACTTTTCTGTGCAATCTAGGATAGAGACATTGCCAAAGCTCCGAGCTAAAGAGACTGAAAGGGTAATTTTAGGTCATTGGGATGTCATTTCCCTAAATGGAATAACTAGTCTCTTGCTGGTTGGAAATCAAGTGTATTCTTGTCAGAGAGCTTTCAGTGCAGATACTAGTAGGGCCCTTACTGGTTTGAACAGAAGCTTTTAGCCTTCATTCTATAAGCATGGGATTCGGATTCACATTTCAAATGAAAAAAAAAAGCTATTTAAAAATATCTGATAGCCCATTAAAGTTTATGGTTCTGTCACCTCACCATCTCCTCTCAAAAGCAAGTGCTGGCTGCATTCCTCTCTGCTGGAAGTGGCTTTTACACTGACATAGCTCACAAAAGCTGATTGTCTCTTCTTGAAGGGGTATGATCTTCCCATCTCAGAATAGGTCACTTTTTAGAAAGCATTGTTCCAGTCCAGCTAATTTCAGTCTGATCATTTTCTTCTGTTCAATCTTCTTAAAAAGCATCCATTTTTGCAGCTTTAAATTCCATTCCGATTTTTTTAGATTTCATCTCTCAAGTTATATTTCCACTTCTTCTTTTCTAAGCAAAATCACTGCAGTCTATATCATGTAAGTGCAATCGCGCACATGTATGCACATGTGTATGTATATTTAAACATTTTTCCATGAAATAATAATATCTTATAAGTAAGGGTATTAAAGAAATGGGTTCATTTGATCATACAGGGTGATGGCATTGGTCAAGTGCCAGGGGTAGGTAGATTTGGTTGTCTCTTCTCTTCCTTTCTCTACCAAATATTGTTTACTATTTTGAAATAAAACAAATGTGTTCTTTAGCCAGGTCCTAAGAAAACAATCATGAATTTGAAGCCTAAGACAGGCATTGGATAAGAATAGAAGCATCCTTCTTTTCCTTCTTCTTTATCCTTTCCTTCTTCTTTCCTCTCCTCTCCTCTGATAATCTCCTCTCCTCTGATCTCTCTCCTCACCTCTCCTTTGATCTCTTCTCTTCTCTTCTCTTTTCTCTATTCTCTTCATCTTCCCTTCTCTTTCTCTTTATTTCTTTCTACTAGGGTTTGAACTTAGCACTTGTTAGCACTTTTCCACTTGAACCATATATCCCTAATCTTTGATTTAGTTTTTGCCAGAAGAATTTCTTTTCTGTTTGGGAAAAAAACAGAGCATGTAGATATTTCATCTCACGATTTTTCTCTTAGGTCTGGCTAATTTGCTGAAAGAAAAAAAATCCATTGATTTATTCCAACAGGAGGATCCACGCTGATGCTCTGTGACAAAGCACTACTGTGACTACATAAAATGGCAGGGCCCTTCAGATCAGAATAGAAGCTTCTCCACCCAGAACATTTCAATATTCTCTTTTATAGACTCGAAGTTCTTTTTCTGTACAGTTTTTAAATATTTTACTCAGATGCTTCTCTAAGCACTATATTCATAGAGATCCCACCTTAGTGTGAAATCACCCTTCTCTTTTAAATTCATGCCTTTGTATTCTTCACAAGCTACCTTGAGATTTCTTTTACTTTTTAGTAGTGTAGGGTCAGGGAAACTGAGTTCTTTTCCCCTGTAATCTTACAGAACTTACATATAGTTAGTGTTCAACAGGTATGTTTGTTCACTGACTAGATTACCTTTCTATGTGTATGTGACAATATTGGGGTTTGAATTCAGAGCCTGGGCACTTAGTTTTTTCAGTCAAGGGTGACACACTACTACTTGAGTCACAGCTCCATTTCTGGTTCTGATAAGAGTCTCCTGGGCTTTCTTGTCCAGACTGGTTTCAAACCAGGATCCTCATATTTCAACCTCCTCCCTAGGAAGGTTTATGGCTATAAGTCACTGGCATCCAACTTAGGTCACTTTTTTAACCCAACTTTTGAATATTTGTTTGTTGTTTTCAATATAAGTCAACTTCTGTTTACTCTCTCTCCTCAAATGTAGGCTCATTTTCTTAGGATCTGGCAAAAGAACACATCTGTTTTATTTCAAAATGGTAAACAATATTTGATTGCAACCTTGATGATAATTAGGATAACATACTTTTGTTTGCCTGAGTGTATTTAAAACATCATATACATATATATTCATGGAGTGACTAACAATTTCTCACATTTTACTTACATGATCTCATTTGCCCAATGCAATTGTTTACAATGTGTTATAAAAATATTTATTAGTCTGTATTATAGAAAGTATAACTCTCTACACTTGCTATATAACATAAAGCCAACAAATAACAAACTGGAGCTGGAATATAAGTTTTCTACCCAAAGACTAGTCAGGCTTTTTTCTTGGTTATTTACTTGCTTCCTTTCTGCCTAAGCATTCTGGATGTTTAAAGTTTTATAACCATGTTCATTTTTTTCTCCAACTATCCAGAGAATTTATATAGTATTTATTTAATATCTACACTCTTATGTGGTGTCTCTGTCTTCTGTAGCCATATAAAAGGTTGTCCTAGAGTGAATGATTTTTTTTAGCAAATTTGTGGCATGGTATTTTAAACATAGTCCTTCAAATGAAATTTTAAAAGGTTGGCATGTTAGGGCTGACCTTTACACAGAGTGAATCCAACTTGACATTTCCCATGCTTTAAGATGAGACTTCTCCATGATTGTTTTCTCTCCCAACCTTCCCTCCCTTAATTATTCCTGATCTCATATATTAAAGCTTGGCTTAAATGAACCCCATTGTACCTACCAGTGGCCTAGAGAAGAACAGGTCAAAAGCAATTACCATAACAAAGTGATTGATTTTCTCTTAGTAGAATCAAAAGTAAGGGTACTTTCATTGCCTTTATATGTCATGGTTGGTGCAGAAAGGGACCCCTGCAGAGGTCAGTATCTCATCTCCTCTTACAGAAAGCAAGCTCTGCAAAATAGATAATCATCATTAGCATTTGAGTCCTTAAATTGTCCTCTAATGAAGACTGAATATCAAACGCAGGAAGACAGGAGTATAGCTTTGCAGTGAGTTCAACAGTATCTTCTTCTCAAATTCATGTTTATTCAGAGACTGAAAATATGATCTTGTGTGGGAAAGGAGAGTCTGCAGATGCCATTAGTTAAGGTAAGAAGAGCTCACACAGTATGGGGAATCCAGCATGCCTAGGAACTGGTTAAGGGTAGGAGAGAAATCACAAAGATAAGGACATAGAGGAATGCTGACTCTGTGAGGTTGGAGGCAAAATCTGGGGGCAATGCAGTTATAAAGACAGAACACCCAAGGCCACAAACACCAGAAGACAAGAGGAGAATATATGGACTTTTCCATAAAACTTCAGAAAGAATGTGGCTTTGCTTATTCCATCACCTTGGATTTCTAGCTTCCAAAACTTCAAGAACATAAAACCTGCATTCTCTGACATTACCTGGTCTGTAGTCACTGGTTACAGCACTCCTGAGAATGAGTATCAGCGTGCAATGCTTGATAAGAAACGCACTCATTACCTTGCTGATGTGAGTATAACCCCTCTATGCAGTATTTTCACAGTAAAAAACTTATTTAAGAAAAAGAAATCTCATGGTTTTTTTGAGGGGAGCCTGGTGCTGGACAATGAGTATCCTGATGGTTTTGAGCTCTCAGGATTCTAGGGTGGTCAATAAGTGATCATGGATAGATGGGATATGAGATGAGATTTGAACATTAAATAGAATATAGACCTCGTAAAGAAGGGATTGATGGGTTTCCTACTGAATCTAGGAAAGTGGGTAACAAATTTGGCAAGCCTTGGACCAAAGGCAGGTACAGGCTTTTTTGAAAGTGCCAGTTAGATACTTGTGTGAATGGAGCAGAGGGGTGGACATGGAAGCCTTCTAAGCCCTGAGGGAAGACATCCATCATCCTTTCATTGATTATTGACAAGGTTACTTTTCCTGCCATTTGTAATATATTCAAAATTATAGGGATGGCTCTATAGCTTAGAGGGAGGAAAAGAAACCCCAGTTATGATTTCTTCTTCTTTGT